ATCAACACCACCAATAACATAGCAACATGTATGTTAATTATGTAAATATGAGAAGGATCAATGTCTCTGTAAGTTGATTTGTGCCACTATTAGAACCTCTACTCAGAATATTATTGCTTTTTAATTTTTGACTCATGCACTTTTAACTTGTTAGTTAAATTTGTATCTTCTAGGCTGCAACACTTCCATGATACATCTTGCTAAGCACAATTGATAACAGTGCATCTAAATTCCAAAATCAATCTCCATAATAGTCTATGTGTTTCCTACTGCCAAGGGGGCCCTTTAGAGTAGTGAGAGAAGATCTTCACCCTGAAACCCACAGCGTCCCTTTTCAGCAGGAAGTAGCTAAGAGAATACACCATCCCCTTTTCCTTATGAATCAGGGTGAAGTCTCTCTCAGGGAGGAGTGATAGGGAATGGCAAGGGACACACTGACAAAGGAGATTAATCAGAACTGGCTTTGACAAGCACTGTGGCAATTGGACAATTAAAACAGACATTCTGTGGGGGGGAGAAGAACGAACTGGGGAGGAGGGTAGAGAAAACAGTGCAACAATGAATGAATGAAAACCCAAAATCTCTGTAAATGTTCATTAAAACTAACAAAATTTAATAATAAAAAAGCACACTGCCATTAATTTGGTTGATTCTGACTCATAACAACCATACAAGAAAGATTATTTAGAAGAGTAATTAGCAGTCAACTTGACTCATTATGCCGTCTGGGAACATCATCAATAAACAATCAATGACTGTTGTTGTTGATTTGTTAAGTGTCATTGAGTCACTATTACTCCTTCTCACCCTGAGAACAACAGACCTGAACTCTTCCCTTTCCTGTGCCGTCCTCATCATTGCTGATAAACTCGAGCCCTTTGGTACAGTTACCGTCTCAACCCATCTAATTGAGGCTGTTCCCCTCTGTTGATTCTCCAACTTTCCAAGCAGTAAGTCTTTTTCTAAAGACTGTCTCCCCCTAACAACATGTTCAAAGAAGGTGAGATGCAGTGTCTCTATCCTTGCTTCTACGGAGCACCCTAGTAGCACATTCTAAAGACATATTTGTTTGTTCTTTTGTCAGTCCAGGGCTTAAAACTAATCCACCTACTGTCTTCTAATCTATTCTGATTCCCAGTGAATCCAATCCACTGGATTTGGGACTGTTAGTCTTTATGGGAGGAGATTTCCCATCTTTCTACTGTGGACTGCCTCGTGGATTCAAACCACAGAGCTTTTAGTTTTCAGTCCAACAAGTAACTCACTCTGTCATCAGAATTGTTCATTAATGTAATGGTGATGCTTAAGACAAACAAAGAGATTAAATTATCTAAGAGGCTCTAGTGGACTAGTGGCAAGAAGCTGCACTACAATCCTGAAGGCACATGGTTCAAGGCCACTGGTTGCTCTGTGGGAGGATAGGAAATCTCCTCCCATGCAATTAACTGCCTGGAGGGTCAGCTATGGGTCAGTTCTGAGGGTATGGTGCACAACAGCAACAACATGCATAGATGTAGAAGAGAATCCTACAGTGAGCCCTGTAACATACCTACATTACTAAAGGTCAGCAAAGGACTCTGAGAAGAAAACGGTAGCAAAGAAAAGCAAAGAGAGAATGGTATTCAAAGACCTGAAATAAGAACTGGGAAATGACTGATAAATAGAATGTGTTCAGGAGAATAGGACAGAAAGCAGTGACAGCAAATATAGATAACTTTTCAGAAGGCTTTTACTGTAAGGAAATACAGAGGTATAGTCATGGAATGATTTTTATGTTTGCCTTTTTCTTTTCTTTTTTTATTTACTTTTAGATTTTGTTTTTGTTTGGAGAAACTGCATCATGTTTGTATGTTGACCCAGTGGGAAGGGGAAGGAGATGAATTATATGAAAGAGGTTAAGAGTTAAATGGAAGTCTGCGAACAAGATGAAAAAGGATGAGATTCAGTTCATGAATAAAAGTGTGTCTACCTTATTCAAGAGCATCGATCATCATAGCAACACAAAGGAGGAAAAAGATATTTAACCACCAAAGCAAATAACGTTGGAAAACATGTGAAAGCAGAAAGCAGTTCTAATTTTCTTGCTTCCATGATCTCATGAATAAGGAAATGAAGTCATCAGCTAACAAGAGAGAGGAGAAACACTGTTGGTTTGAAGGCTTCAATCAGGAGGCGAAGAGGAAGCAGTTCCATCAGGAAATTGTAGCAAGACTCTCAGTAATGCTTTAAAACACTGAATAATGTAATTAAAAGACAGTAAAATGCTACGCTTTAACCGTTATTAGCCTATAACACTTTCTTTAAAATAAAAATTCTGTAGTTGAGTATCTGAAGACGAAAAAACGGTAGCTACAAAGGTTTTTAGAGCAGCAAGGGAGCAGTCCTAGGAGTCCTTAAAGGCTTCTCATGAAGCAAACTTTTAAAAAACACTTACCTTACACTAAAACTGAAATTAAGCTCATAAGTCTTTACCTAATAAGAATTGCCACATTCCCTCACATGATAAAGCCTGTAAAATTAGCAGAGTAAGAGCTACTTCTTTGAAAATGTACATAACAGGGGGATTTGGCAATTACAATTCTCTCACAATAATGATAAAATAAAGTGTGTTCTCTTGAACAACAGTGTGAAGACATTAGGCTGTTCACACATAGGGTTAGCACACACTAAATCGTGGAAACTGAAAAACAAAACAAAACCAAAAAACAAACAAACTACATCTGCCTTTTAAATTCATTTCACTTCTCTACTTGATATTCACTTACTAGGCTTCAAAAGCCTTCTTCCTGATCCAGGCTTTGCAAGTTACTTTTCACTGTCCTCACACACCGCAATACCCATGTCATTTTCTGTCCTCCGACCTCCAAACTGCAGCCTTTCTTCATGGGGGTTCAAGCTCTTTGTGTTTACAAAGACTCCCTGGTCATTCTAGCTCAAAAATACTCATGGCACTTATTTCTCTAATACCTAGTAACTTGTTGTTGTTGTTGTTACGTGCCGTTGAGTCGTTTGCGACTCATAGCGACCCTATGTACAACAGCCCTAAACTGTGCTCTATCCTGTGCCAATCACACTGCCTCTGACACACCCATCCAGATTACCCCAGTCACTGAATCAATCCACCTCATAGAGGGTCTTCCCCTCCTGCACTGTCCCTCCACTCTACCCAGCATGATGTCCCTCTCCAAGGACCTGTCTCTCCTTACAACATGTCCAAAGTATGTTAGACGGAGCCTCAGAATCCTTGCCTCCAAGGAGCAGCCTGGTTTAATCCTCTCTACGATGAATCTGTTTGTTTTCTTGTCAGTCCATGGTACATTCAATACTCTTCTCCAGCACCACAGCTCAAAGGCTGTAACTTAAGCACTTCAATTTTGTATTCTTTTTTAAAAATAATAGTAGTAATAGACAGCATTGTTTAATCATTTACTATTATTATTGTTTATTATTACTATTAATAATATTATTATTAGCCAATCACCTTCACTTTTTAAAAATTTTAAATAAGTTTCTTGTAGTAGATTTGCCTAATTTAATATGCTGTTAGATTTCTTCATTGCTTCCCTGGGCATTGTTTGAGAATGCAAGTTAAATTAAACCCTTGTCAACTTTACACCTTTATACATTTATCATGATGTTCCTTTCTGGTCCAGTTGTGAGTGGTCTTGATTTTTGGTTGCAGTACAATCCACACTTAAAGCTTTAGTCTTTGATCATCATCACAAGTGCACTAAGTCTTCTTCACTTTCAGCAAGCAAAGTTGTATCTTCTGTACATCAGATTGTTAGGGAGACTTCCTCTAACCCTGATGCCTCATTCCACTTCAAGCCGTGGCTACGAGAATGAGCTCCAGCATAGTAACAATTATAACAGCACAGGACGGGGTGGTGCTTTATTCAGTTGTGCAGGGCCACTATCCATTGAAGTTTACTTGATTTGACATCTAACAACAACAAACTGATGGCAGGTACCATTCTAAGTGAAAGATAGATAGATAAAGATATATATAGATAAATTTATACATATAAGTATACTTATATTAAATATATATGTGTGTATAAATATTGTTGTTGTTGTTATGTGCCATCAAGTCGCTTGCGACTCATAGTGGCCCTATGTACAACAAGCCCTAAACTGTGCTCTATCCTGTGCCAATCGCACCATCTCCGATACACCCATCCCGATTACCCCAGTCACCATCTCAATCCATCTCCTAGAGGGCCTTCCCCTCCTGCACCTGCCCTCTACTCTCCCAAGTATGATATCCTTCTCCAAGGACCAGTCCCTCCTTACAACATGTCCAAAGTATGTTAGACGGAGCCTCAGAATCCTTGCCTCCAAGGAGCCGCATGGTTTGACCCTTTCCAGGATGAATACATAAATATATATATAAATTTAATTCTGAAAACAAACTCTAGTAATATATTTAGTTTATTAATTAAAATGAAAATAGTGAGTTTGGAGCATTGGTATAGATTATAGAGGAATGAAGCAGGAATACTAATACTCATATTCAAGCAGCCAGACTCCAAAATCTAGATTCTAAATACTATGCTATGGTGACTATTTATTTATTTCATCAACATGAATACAAATTGAAGAAAACTTCTAAAATCTTATTCTTCCCTATTTCCTTTCATTTACTTTCAAAAAAATAGAACTTACTGAGTAAGTAAATAAGCCTCAGCCGTGACAATAAAGCAGGGCTTCCCTATTTACTAGGGTAAGTGTTGCTGTTGTTGTTGTTGTTATGTGTCGTTGAGTCGCTTGCGACTAGGGTCAATAGACTCTTTATTAAAGCACATGCATATACTTTATTGTCATTGATATGAATTTATATTCATTTTTACTAGATAATTCAGAGAAAATAAAAATATTTCAAATGTCCAAACTAAAAATGAAAAACCACTGTTAATAGAATCTTAGGAAAATATAATAAATACGGCATGACACACTTACCACCCCACATTTAAATGGGCATCTTACTATTATGTACTTACCAGCAGGGCAGCTTTGTTCTCACACTGTCCACAGACCTTTCCTCTTCTCTTGAGTGTCGCATTTTCAGAATTTGTCATTTTATCATAAAGGGGTTGTTTTACAGGCTCTGGAAGATAATTTAAAAAATCCAAACACTCTGTTTTATTTTTACAATCATTCACTTGTATATAATCATTCAGAAATATTTTGTTCATGTAAATTTATCTTGCACAAGCATTTCTGGACATTGCATTTTATGTAGTTCCTCTTGATCTCTGTCATCTCCCCTTCTCATCAACTCTCCACTGCATCTTGCCTTTAATTCACAGCTCCTCTCCTCTGCCCACTAATCTCTCGTGTGCAAGTGATGTATTCTTTCTTGCACATCCCTTCTTCTCGTCCCTTTTTGAACAGTTACACCTACCTTGGACCTATCAGAGAGATGGACCATGATCAGGGATAATAGAAGGAGAATTGATACCTTTGAGCTGTGGTGCTGGAGAAGAGTGTTGAATATACCATGGACTGCTAGGAGAACAAACAGGTTTGTCCTGGAGAGGGTGATGCCTGAATGCTCCTTAGAGGCAAGGATTCTGAAGCTTCGTCTGACATACTTTGGACATGTTGCAAGGCGGGATCAGTCCTTGGAGAAGGGACGTCATGCTTGGGAGGGTGAAGGGACACAGCAGGAGAGGAAGACCCTCAATGAGATGGACTGATTCCATCACTTGGGTAATAGGGATAGGTGTGTCAGAGACAATAAGATTGGTAGGAGATAGAGCAGGGTTTAGGGCTGTTGTATACAGGGTTGCTATGAGTCACAAGCAACTCGACGGCACATAATAACAACAACACTGACTAATTGTAATAGTCATATTGACCTTATGTCAATTCTTCCCAGATTGATCCTCCCTTGTCTTGGTCCTCACAGTGTTCTTTTCTGTTCTCCCCCAGACCATTCACTTTAAAAAGAGATATTTAGTGGATTTTTTTGCCCTGACCAATAAAGCAATGGAATTATGCACCTTTGCAAATACTCAGAATATCTAAATATACATTTTTGTTACATAAGCATGTCATGCAGTTAAGTCTAATATTCCCAGTAGATTGCAGAATCACAGTTCTCCCCTCACTTAGCTCTAAGACTACAAAATCAGCAAGCCTACTCATACCCACTTTGCTTAAAACTCACTAGAACTGGATAATATAAGAACCAAACAAAAATTTCCTATTGTTCGCAAGTCAAACTCATAAACAATAATCTTTCCAGGAAGAGACTCTACATCTTTGCCCAGTGCAGCACCTGTGAGTTTGAACGGTTCGCCTTTCAGTTCAGAGGACAACATGTTACCTACTATATGACCAGGGCTTCTCAGAATAACAGGGATGGCTTAGTGGTAAGGAGCCCCACTGTAAATCCAAAGGCTTGTGGTTCAAATGTGCCAGCTGCTTTGTAGAGAAGGATGGGCAATCCCGCCCCATGCAATTTACTGCCTCGGAAAACCCAATGGAGGGTGAGCTGTGAGTTAGTTCCAGCTTGTCAGAACTACAACAACGTCACAAAAAATACTATTCATGATGGAATTCCTATGGCATCCTATCTCTACACCAAACAGAGCAGCACATATATCAACTTCTAAACATCTGTTCTATATAAGTACACATCACATTTGCTGTACAGAGGTAACTCGTGGGTGCTGTGATGCTAAACACTGTGACACTGATGTGTCAAATGCGATCATGGTCACCCATGGTGGACAGTGTTTGACAGAGCTCCCTGATTAAAACAAGCTTGAAAGCAGGAGTGGCATCCACTTCCGAAATAGCTTGCCTCCGGAAACTATGAACCTGGAGAGAGGATGGAAGTTATACAAGTGTTCAGGTCTTTCGTTCATAGAGTCACTACGAGTTGCCTATGACTCAACAGCACTTAACAACAATAACAAAAACAATATGTAAGTCATAAATATGCAGTAAATATTAGGTATTATCATTTGCTCCATCAACTCTGGTGGCCTAGTGGCAAGGAGCTGTGCTGCAATCCTGAAGGCTCACAGTTCAAGTCCATCTGCTGTTCCTTGGGAGAAGAATGAGCAATCTCTTCCCGTTTGATTAACTACCTCTGAAAACCCACCACAGCGTCAGCTATGGGTCAGTTGTGACTCTATGGCACACAACAACAACTATGAGGGAAAAAAAAAAGATTTCTTTCCTTTGGAATCATTATGAGTCCAAAACTTCCTTTCATTTTTGGCTATAATTTTATCAAAATATATAAAGCAATTTTAAGTATTTTTTCAAATTCCTATAATACAATTACAATTCATAATTTTATAATGCTAAATTACTTTCCTGGATAAAATATTATATTCATAAAGCTAAAGGAACTGTTCTATGAAAGTTTTCACTTTTGAAAATGCTACTTTTATAATCAAATTCTAACCTGACATTTTTATGAAAAAACATAACTACTCAATTTCTTTAAAAAGCTTAATAAAATATATAAAGTCATTACTTTTAGATTTAGAATGTTTATGTTGTGTTAATAATTATAACACTTTAATTTTTCTTTGTAACTCAAATATAAAAGAAAAAGGAACTGCATCTTTAGCAGCTAATCATATAGTGATAAATTATTTACCTTGAATGTCTTCTTTCAGTAATTTTAATTTCACCTTTCCAGTAGTAAGCTGTAATAATTAAAAAAAAAAGTCAGGTTGACATTGCCCTAGTGAAATAACAATGTAATTGTTACAAACAATAAGAACAAAAATTTAGTTTTAGCCTTTGATGTATTTGGAAAAAAATCTATCTTTGAAAGAATAATACAAATCAATAAAAGAATTTTAAAGCATTTAAAGGGTTTAGGGAAGCAAGACTATTCAAGCATTTTTCCATTTGTTCTTTATGAAACAGATAATATTTTTCTAGATTGAACATGGGATAAATTTTGACTGGGCTTCTTTCTTAAAAATAGAAGCCAAATTTATTACCTCATTTGCCCAAATTAAAAGAACTACATGTTTAAGCAGCACAGACTTAACCTTTAAATACATTTTTGTGATCCTGACTTTCTTAAGTTGTAAGCAAAAAAATTAAGTACGTAGCAATCGTTGAAATTTTAAATACATTTGTCAATTGTCTATACGTGCCCTTGTCTTATCAAACCGGTATGTAAAGTACCCAGATGAGCATGGCGGAGGGCGTGCATTTTATATAGTCTGTCAACTCACGCCTGCATCGCAAACTGCATGCTCAATTACCTAATTTGAACATGAAAATATGAGAACAACGGCTGCCTCTGTGTCCTCGGCTGGACCCACTGCAGTCATCTTTGACAACTTGGGCTTAATTATTCTCAGTGAGTCTAGTGGTTTTGCTTCTAAAAGGGCATTTATTGTTCACAATCTTTGAAATAGCTGCTTACAGGCTATGTTCCAAACACACCAGAAAATGGGATTTAAACAATCAATCCTTCTATGAATCAAATTTTTCTTTTTAAAATGGATGTTATACAAGCTACAGATAATTTAATCTCATCATTCATAACCAAATTATCCAATATGAGCATCTTAATGATACAGCTGAACCGTAAGATGATCACTATGTATAACCAGATATGAACAGAAAGAGTAGATAACATAGTAAACTGAATCTCTAATTGTTGTTGTTGTGTATTGAAGAGTAAGAACTGACCCACAGCTGATTCTCTGGTAGGTTTTCAGAGGCAGTTAATTGCACGAGAGAAGACTGCCCACCCTGCTCCTGTGAATCCATTATTAGGAAAATGTGTATTTTTATTAAGATGAATAATATTGTTCAGATGCATGAATACAACTATTTTCACTTCAAATGTTTCAAAATGCGTAACATATGTGAATGAAAAAATTGCTAGCTTATACTTTTAGGTTAATGACATTTCTTCCTAAAGCCTTATTTTTCATGTTTAGGAAAGATGTTTTGTTGTGGAGTACAGTCAAGTCAGAACCAACCCATGGCTGACCCACTAGCGGGTTTTCAAAGACAGTTACTTGCAAAGGAGGAGCAAAAAGTAGGAGGAGTTACAGGTTAAAATAGATATAGATTTCCATACAAATATACACAGACACATGGAGTCCCTGAGTGAATGGGTAAGCACTTCACTACAGGCCAACAAGTTGGCAGATCAAACACTCTCAGAAATGCCTCATAAAACAGGCATGATGATCTGCTTCTAAAAGATCAGCGCTTTGAAAAACTTCTCCACGGACGAGACTTTCACTTGGGTACTCAGATATTCCAGAGCCTTGATGGATTTTTTTCCTAAAGATGTCTTATGCAAATGTTCACTTTCACTGGAAACCATCTTTTCTCAGACACAGCTGTTTTCTACAGCATTCTTCAAAGAGACGGCTGCTGTTTTGACTCTAGGCATTGAGAGGGAGGGAAGCATTTCTTCTTTTTTGCTCCTCAGTGCTGTATGACTCCTGTGTCCTCATTGATTCAGTAAATCTACCTCTACTGAAGGTCACCATCACTCATTCACTCCCTGCTTTGTCAATACTCACAATACTCTTCATCTGGACGTCAGTATTTATCATCATGACATTTCTCAATTTTTGTTTTCTTTTGAGGAATTGAAATAGCAACTTCTACTTTGGAATCTACATAACAGCCAAAGCCCCACTATATCCAATCACTATTTCTGCAGATATTTTGAATATGAAAATGAAGATACAATATCTTGAGTAACTCAATATTCATGCTGACTTGGCATCTTGGTACTGCAAATTCTCAAACACGTTTACAATCACAAAGGATCATTCATTTTGGCCACGCACCTCTGTAACGAACTTTTGGATCTAACCAGCAGCCTGAGAAAACTCAATTTCAAAATCCTAAACTCGAGAGTTTCTGAGTGCTAACTACAGCCTCTTGCCTCTTGCCTCATGGATTTCCCATATCTATATACCATTGAACAATATGTCAACAAAGAACTGTTGGATTTAGAAGAGGTCGAAG